TCTCTCTCTCTCTCGTTTGTTGTTTGAACCTTGCTGCCTTTTGTTTTCCCTGTATTTCTTCTAAGTGTTATGGATGACTTTTTCGGCCTTAGTCCAACATTTTGTTTATTTGGGATTCATATCTTTGTACGTCTACTTGAATCCTGGACACACTTTTGTTGTTTGTCACATGTGATGTATCTGTCCATGGAAAGCAGCCAATCAATCAATCAATCAACCAAGATTTTCTTGATCGAGTGATGGAATGATTTGATTTGGAATCAGACTGCACTCCAAACTTGCTTCTAGCATGCGTACAGGCGAACTGATGACAAAAACAAACTCTTTCAACTCAGAATCAACAACGAACTTGCACTTAAACTCTGTTCAAGTCAACTGAATAACTTGCGGCTATGGACGCTGATTCGCTGAACACTGTCTCCACCACCAGCCTCACTCACTGTCCCTCATGTACGCACGAACAAGAATCCACCCTGAATGTTCACGGACTGTACACACACACACACTGTACACTGTGTAGACGTCAGCATTTTGGCGGCTATGGCCGCTGTTGTCTTCCTCACTCCTAGCTATGGCCGTCGTCGTCTTCCTCACTGCCCACTTCAGCTCCTGTCACCTGCAGACCTCCACGCACAAGTCACCAAGGCAGCGCTTCCGCATGGCCACAGGCGAATGAATGAATGGCTGGTTGCTGCCTCTTTATTTATACTCCTCCGCAGGTGGCCTGGCCCTGCCTCAAAACGTGTGGGCCTGGGCCTCAAACTGCGTGGGCCTGGGCCCCGGAAGCCTCTAGAACGCGTTGGCATGCTGGGCCAAAATGCATGGAACCTGTGGGAAGCCGCGTGGGACCCTCACCACTAGCCTGGCACTTGCTGACTGGACGCGGCTGAGACAGCCCTATGACATTCTTGAACCTACAGACTTGGCCTTTCACTACTGCTAAGGCTACGTCCTGACTGACCCTTGGACCTACGTAGGGACAGGTAGAGAGTTCTAGAAGGCCTAAACTAAACCCAATGGTAACATACTAACCTACTAGTACGAAGATCTACGGATCAAGTCCAACTGACTAACGTACTGCCTAACCTACGCCTCAGGACAGGTCACGGGTTTGAATCTCACTCAGAACACAGGTTCAATGTACAGAGTTCAGGCACAGGTCTAGGGATCAAATCTCAGTGTCTGCAAATGTCGGGTCAACTGGGTGAAACCGTTTCAGATTGACTGATTAACTGATTTGATTGATTGATTGATTGATTGATTGATTGATTGATTGATTCTTGGGTTCATTGCTGGATCGAATCTATGCTTTTTGCAACTATTCGCTCCCATGGGGTGTGCCGTCATGCTGTCAAAAATTTCGACTCCATGGGGGCTGCCGTCGTGGTGTCAAAATTTTCGACCCCCATGGGGGGGTGCTGTCATGCTGTCAAAATTTTCGACCCCATGGGGGGTTCTTGTCATGCTATCAAGTTTTCACAGGATGGAACCTAGTGACTGATGAATCACCTTTCGACTCCATTGGGGGTGCTGTCATGCTACCCCCGCCCACCCTGACTGTCTGCTGCAACCCTCCCCCCCTCCTGAGTGCCTGCTGCCCCCTATCCCCCTCCTTTTTTTTTTTTTTTTTTTTTTTTTAATCTGGTGCGGACATATCTTCAACCCTATGAGTCCAGTTCGGACTGTCTGGATCCGGGAGTGTCTGGGTGTCCGGCCATGTCCGGATCTCCGAAATGTCCGGACCGGTCCAGACAGATGTCCGGGAGAGTGTCCAGAAAGGTCTGGTGTCCAGGTCCGCGGTTACCATGGATATTACCATCGAACTGACCGGCAGTGTAATGCTCTTCCTATCCTTTCTTCTTTTGCCGTGGTTACCATGGATATTACTATCGAACTGACCGTCAGTGTAATGCTCTTCCTATCCTTTCTTCTTTGCATGATTTCAGACCTTGGACAGGCACTGGCAGATTTTGGAATAGCAGTTTTGATGCTGGGAGACTGTGAGGGGGGTTCGCTGGGGCATGTCTTCAAGGAGCTTGGAAAGCGGTCGGATGCTTTGTCCGCAGCATCACAGAAGCAGGTACTTGTTGTGTTGCTGTCTGTCTGGTTGCTTTCTGTCTGGTTGCTGTCTGGCCAGTGAATGGCACACACATGTAGAGACCTATCGGTCAACAGGTGAGGAGTCCAATTCCTTCGAAATACAGTAACGAAGGGCTAAGGGTTCTCTGAACAAACAAAGTGAGGCCATACCAAATCTGCAGGAAAAAGAAGGTGCTTGTCTAGTTGGTCTATGTCTGGCAGTTCTCAGTCTGCTCGCTCTCATTGCTTTCTGGTCACTGAGTTGCACGCAGCCTAAGACATACTGATCAACAGGTTATCAGCTCAGTAGCGGCCAGCACAAATGACTCTCAATGTGAAAAATGAGGCAGCAGACTACGGCACGTTGCAGGACAATCACGGCAGGTTGCAGGACAATCACCTCCACAGACTAGCAACTTATGGAAGCCAAGTGCTATAGTTCAAGTTCAATCATCATGTAAGATGCAAATTTGAGGCACTGGAATGAATTGCAATACAAATAGAAACAGTACGAGCAAAAGAGAAAGATGAGATGAAGAAAGAAAACTTGAGGAGAAGCCACAAGAATACTCTTACAGTCAGGGTTGAATACCTGCCGATCGCCAACCCTGACTGCCGACCGTCTTGCAGCTGACCAGTAGGGCCGACTGGTCGGCGGTTTGCCGACCAGTCAGAAAACAGCCATGCACTGATTTTTTTA